GCTCTGTCACCCTCACTGAGAAGAAGTTTCTTCTCCAATTGAAGTGGAACCTCCTGTGTTCCAGTTTGTGCCCATTACCCCTTGTCTTATCATTGTTTGTCACTGAGAAGAGCCTGGCTCCATCCTCGTGACACTCACCCTTTAAATATTTATAAACATGAATGAGGTCTCCCCTCAGTCTCCTCTGCTCCAAGCTGAAGAGACCCAGGTCCCTCAGCTGCTCCACATAAGGGAGATGCTCCGCTCCCTCCATCATCTTTGTAGCCCTGCACTGGACTCTCTCCAGCAGTTCCTGTCCTTCTTGAACTGAGGGCCCAGAACTGGACACAATATTCCAGATGCGGTCTCACCAGAGCAGAGTAGAGGGGGAGGAGAACCTCTCTGACCTACAACCACCCCTCCTGATAGACCCCAGGATGGCATTGGCCTTCTTGGCCACAAGGGCACAGTGCTGTGAAGAGATCGTTTTCTTCATAACAGAGTCGTCAGAGGCAAAATAGAAATATAACAGTTAAGAGCTTGTATCCTGGCTTGTTTACGTAGCACTTGGCACTTCTATTTAAGCATGATAAGTTTCTGTTCCTTGTTTTAGCTCAATAATCACAGCAGGAAAAGAAGACTGGAACATCCAACAGTATCACAGTAATATTTTTTTTCTGTATTTCAGGAAGCTTTGTGCAAGAGTGAAAGAGAGAGAGTTATGGAAAAACAGAAATATGCTCCAGTGTGGACACTCAGGAAGAGCCCACCACCTGACTGGCATCTTCCACTTGAGCAAGACAAACCAAATTAGCAAGACTTTCTGTGTTTGGTCAGTAATGTAAAACACAGTGCAGGACTATGCTATCTGTTGTTTTTTTTCTTCCATGCCATCTTGAAATCACGTAACTGTAGCTCTGCCCTACAATACTTTAGTACTCATTCAAAAATACTGAGTTTATTTAAACACACAGTATTTTTGTAAAGGAAAATTGAGGTGCTTAATTTGATTCTGGTCTATTGTTACCAGTCTTACACTTTAGGATTTCATCTCAGCAACTCATCAGGCAACCCCCACATTAGTGCATACATGATCTACCTCCTCTTGCTAGATGAGGACCTTTTTCCCTACCAGCTGGTGTACTTTTGGAACAAGGTACCCACCCCAGGCCTGCCAGGTGGGAAAACAAAAGCAAGCTGGGCCTCCTCCCTGCTAGTTCAGGACAACCACAACCACTGGCATTTTTAAGGCATTTCCCAGATTCACGATTGTGGCAGGTCAAGCTCCTCACCTGCTGGGCTGATGCTGAAGACCCTGAAACTGCAACCCTGTCCCTGTGTGGAACTGATCTCGAATGGTGGCGTGTGTCAATGGCAGTATTCAAAATTACTACAACAATAAAGGTTTAAATTAATGAAGAGAGTCTGTTTTGTTTTAAGGCAAAGGGCTAGAAGCCTAGCTACAGTAGTTACATGGCAATATAAAAAAAAAACCAACAAAAAAACCCAAAAAACCCCCACAAACCAAACACCAAACTAAAAACTCAATTTTGGCTTTCTCACGGTACGTTTTCTGTCTTAGATGCAAAAGTACTTCACTGAAGTCTGAAAAGAAAGGCAGTAAACAGTCAGCTGCTATCTCCCTTATAGTATAAGCTCTGTTGTGATGACTGTGACATTCTTTCCTCATAACACAGGAGTCTTCCAAGTTATGGTTTATGCAGAACAAAAAAATGCTGCTCAGGAGCACATGGAGGGGTGAGGGATACAGGCCCAGAAAGATAAAGTACTCTGTGAAACACTACTTACTGTTTTGTTCTAGTATGGCCCAAGTGTAAGGTAGAACATTTTGTTGGGTGTCTTGCTACCCAGGTAGCTGTTTAAAAACCCAGACAGGTACTGCATTAACAGGTTTTGTTACATTCACACGACTACAGTATTTTAACCTGCAGAAGGAACTGTTTATTCTTACTCCATTCTTCCCTCCTTCAGTCGGCCCAGTAGCCCATGCCAGGTGAACAACAAACTCTTCCGTCACTGGGTGTACACTTTGGTGATATCAACGCATTTTCCTTCAGGAGGATCATAACCAGGAAGTGGCGGGGTGTAATCAGGTCCATCTCTCTCAAAGGGGAAAAGCCCCTCGTCTCGTCTGATCGCTGCCTGATACAGCTCCTCCGATTCAAGGCGCAGTTCCTTTAGTGCCTCCTGTTGAGCTTCTACAAGGGTCTGAATTGCTTTCTTTTCTGCCTTATCTTGTTTCTGCTTAAACAAACACCACTTTTTCATAAGTAAAACTCTTCTTTCAGTCTCCTCAAATGACAAAGCAGGAAGACTTCGCACCCTGATGAACAGTAAGATAACACTGTAGTAGAGAAATAGCCTGCACCCCAAAGAGCCAGTAACAAAAGCCCACCACCCACCAGAAAACCCCCACCAAACCCAGAGAATACATTTCATTCATGCAGGGTCTGAATACGAGGTTTTCCACAGTCATTCTAACAGGAAATTCACATTACTATTTTTTCACTGCTTTTAGCAGGAGCAAATAAAATCTGCTTTCCACATTTTTGCCCTGGTAGAAGTAGATAAGGTTTTGTAGTACCAAGGCTAGCACTATGCTGCGTTTTTCACAGAATCACAGAATCGCTCGGTTGGAAAAGCCCTCTGAGATCATCGTGTCCAACCGTTCCTGTCTACCCCCTAAACCATATCCTTAAGTACCTCATCTACCCGCTCTTTAAACACATCCAGGGATGGTGACTCCACCACCTCCCTGGGCAGCCTGTTCCAGCTTCTGACGACCCTCTCAGTAAAGAACTTCCTCCTTCTCTCTAACCTGAACCTCCCTTGGCACAGCTTGGTGCCGTTTTTGCAGCAAGAGAAATTGGAAGTGTTTCTAGCATGAATGCAAGTGGATGATGAAGGATGGTCTTACTACCTGTTGCTATCTGAGTATTTAAGTGGCGCTACAAAATCCTCAATTGGAATCATTTCTGGGGCAGCTTTTTCCAACTTTTTAATCTTCTTTTTCATACGATCCTTCTGTGCTTGCTCTCTCCTTAAATCCACTTTCTTCTTCTTCTTTGGTTGTGCTCTGCAAGGGAAAAGTGACGTGAAAGAAAGAAGATACTTTGTCATTTAATTCAACACCAGCAACTTTCCCTTACACTTCACTTTTCTAAGGGCTGTATCTTCCCATTGCTTAATCAGGTTCCTAACAGAAGTTCCAGCTGTTAGCTTTATTCAAATAATGTCATCTTCAGGAGACTGCAGTATGTCTTGTGAGATTTTCTGCAGAGAGAACTGTGCCTGCCTGAGAAAAGCCACCTCCAATTTTGTGCTGAACATCAGAATGACCTGAGGAAGCTGCACAACAACTGAACTGGAGTTGTTTTGCTCAGAGCACAGCAGAGCAGGTAACAGGTTTATCTGCAAACATTCCTGTCATTTCATATTAAAGAGAGTGAGTGCTTTTACACATGCTTTTAAAATTTCCCTGTGTGGAACCACATTCAAGGTGCAGACACTGCTCTCCTGTTGTACTCCACACAGACCCAGCATACCCCAGGTACCATGACACGCTCCACAGACACAAGCCAATCCTCACAGTGGACCTGGGGGACATCATTCCTGCCTTGCAGGCTGAACAAACCACCTTTATGGTGCGAAACAGTCTCCCTGACAGTACCTAAGAGCTTCCAGGAGATTTTTATTAATGTATTTAATATTTGGTTGCATCAAAATAAAACATGGATACCAAAATGTATACATAAACGTAGGCTGTCTAGCATACCACTTCATTTCCATCACTGCTCAAAAGGGAATTACAGAGCACAGCTTAAATCTGAACACTTCCAACCGCATTCTGTGGTCGAGGGAGCTGCAACTGCACACAGGCATAAAGCAACAATCGCGTAGGTTACCAGGAAATTCTGCTCACGAGGCCAATGGTTACTGACAAACACAGTGACTTGAAAGTGAACATCTACAGTTTAAAGTTAATTTGGAGTTAGGAAGAATTAGTGTTCCCCTAAGGATGAAAACACTTCCACGTAACTCCACGGCAGCTGCACTCACCTCACGGGGAGCGATGCCCTGAGCGCCAGCAGTGAACTGTGCCAGTGACCTCCCCGGCAGGGAACCGCCTGGGGCAGCCAAGAACTACAGAAGGAAAAGGAACAGAAAGCGTGAGGAGAAACTACCTTTGACGACATTGATTCTGCAAAATACGAGAGGTATTTATTAGTCAAAAATTACAATGATGAGTTCTGGCTACTTAATTCATGACGGTATACAGCGTTTACCCAGAGATGATAACCTCAAGCTCCTCAGCAAGGTAACGAAACCCAAAATTTGGGCTGCTCAGTGTTGTGAATCCACTGGGTACCATGGGGTGAAAGAAAAACATTCTTTAAGCCTATGAGCAGATTAATTATATTCTTAAGATCTGATAACGGCAGCTCTGAAGTACTAACTTCGGAGAAGTAAAACCAGCTCCGCTTAAACAAGGAGAGTGATGCCGTGATGTCACCAGTGGAAACTGGCCCAGGTGCCCGCGCAGCGGCTCAAGGTGCGGGACCCGTTTCGCACACACCACATCCCATCCCATCCCATCCCATCCC